AAAAACAGTTTCACATACCGGCTTCATTTACTGTTATGTTTAATTTAATATTCAAAATGGAGCAGGTGTGAGTGATAAGTAAAGCGCCCTGAGTTAAAATTTTAAGGTAGATATGACAAGTTAGGTTTAACTGCATTTAAAGCGCATAAATTGTTTCGCAAGATTCTCGTTAAGTGTGCTATGGATAAAAAATTAGATACTGAAAAACACTGAACTTTAGATAATTTGCCGAACCCGGTTAAGCGGTTTTCCGATTTAGTTTCAAATGTGAATTCTAACAGTCTAAAATACTGCGGTAACCAGCAACCAATGAGGGTGAACGATGGCTAACAGTCCATATTTTCAACTACGAACTGATGCCGAGCATATGAACAGTTGGGAACAATGCACATCCGGATAAGATATCTAACTCCAAGATGACGATAATAATTTTGCCAGTCGCTGTCTGTAACATTTTTCCAAGGAGTCTAACACGTCAACTGCACGAATGAGGGGAATGTAACCACGTATTTTAATACGTAAATAATTTACTGGACAGGCAACGCAGTGGATTATTTGTGGGATTACTGAATGGCATATGATGTGAACCAGCCCTTTTGCAGACAATTACCAAATAAAATGACCTGCTGAAATTTTATAAAGCGGTTCTTATCTGCGCAAAATGTTTCTTTCGATATATGTAATAACAACTGTTTTCCAGATTGGTCGAAAAGTTATTGGAGAATGGAATTTTTCGTTGTTGATTGAAGTGGTACCGAACTTCCTAACACCAACCACAGGCTAAAAATGTCGGTCATAACTTTTGTAATATCAATATGTCCTTCTGGTTGGCATTAGTTTAAAAATAACTAGTGACATGCATTTCTGATAAAACAAAAAACTTTGGTCACCAAGAAAGCATTTCCGAGTAATAAGCGTCGGAGGTACACTCATCATTCAGATGAACCCAAAGTTGGCAACTAAAGATCAAGGACATGTGCAACTGCGGTGCACTGTAAAATGCCTAGAGTTTTTCTAAAGCGGGCCAACCAAGTAACACGTCTTGTTACGCAAGTTCTAAAAATATCCAAATCCTGAAATTGTTGTGGAGTATAGGTAGCTTGAGTGCGCTGATTTGGTGTTGGTCTGTTCGTCGAGCTTGTCAGTTGGATTGCAAACGTGTCATCATCACCTGAGTTACCATCGTCGGTGCGGGGTTTAGTGGGTTCAAATCCTTTTCCGAAAGTAATCCTTATTGCAGACATTACGGTAATGCATGTAGGCGCATTATGTTCCCTAAAATATTTGTTTCTGTGGCTGTTGCACGTCAAAAATCCGCGCAAAGCTTTTTCATGAGAATGTACACAATTTATTAGTAATTCCTCCAGTTAAGCACGTTTACACTACACTGTTTCTCATCATATTTAGAATGCCGGTATACAGATGCCATAGTGTTCACATTCCTAGTAGCAGTGAATAAAAATGCCTGCTACAGAAATAGGATGAAGCGTAGTGGGCAAGTGCATATTGTGAAAGTCACATAAACGACGCCTTGCATATAACATAAGTGGCGAAAATTGAATTAAAAATCCAGTTACAGACCGTGGCTATTCATAGCGAACCCTTAACCTTATCAATGCTAACATGCCAGGTTGCAATATGTTTCTTTCGAACTTTGGGTGGAAAACTTGTATATGATTACATTATAACAACGAAAATACATATCTTTTGTCTTCCTTATTAGATCTTGCTCAGAATATATTGTCTACTCCTAATCAAGCTTATATATGAACATGCAAACAGTTGCTCATCCTGGCTGCATACTTCCTTTCGGAACGGTTCAAGTTGAAATCTAGCTGTTGAAAACGTTCTAGACGTACTTACGAAGATGGCTATTTTGCAGCAATATGAATCGATCCCTAGAACTTATCACACGTACTTGTTTCCACAACTGCTTTTCAACGTATTTGATTAAATTTTGCGTAATTTTGGAAAAATGAGGCGGTGGTTCTGAATCAAGCCAAGGGCATCACATGCGAAAGACCATATGGTCGATGAAAAATAGACCATCCTTATACAGGACGGCCTAAAACTGAATTTTGATTGATTTTTCCTTGGGAATCTAGGAGACGTATTTCGAAGCCATCTTATTGAAGGATTTTGGCAGAGATCTATTCCATTTCTGTAGTAGTGTAGCTCCCATTACTTTGGACTTTCATTTGGGTCCCAGCAAATTAAGCGAAGGCTTTCATCACATGCAGTCAAACAGAAGTCCCCCACACTACGTTCAGACTAATTTTGCCTATGACCACTGCATTTATTTAGGATACTCCAAACTTGCGGAAGCCAAATTGGTCTTAGTGTCTCTGTGCACTATGGAACAAACGACTGGCACCAGGACCATCCGGCTAGATGAGGCAATTCTCATAGGAGAAATGCAGTTACGTAAATGTCCCTTGTATCAGTAGGACACTTTATTCCATTAGCAGTATGTACACTTGCAAATAACGTAGAAGCAAATAAACCTTCCTGATACCACGGCTTCAAGGTTATCGGAAAGCAGAAAGCTACCTACGTACTGGACATAAAATGAATATAATTTTATAACCGAAAAATAATTCTGTTTTCCTCCAAATTTCTGCCAAACTTCGTGGATCGGTGTTCACGGGAAAACACGGTTTTTCACTATAATATAAACTTGGCATCGGAGAAACAATCGGTGGTTTGATTTCATTCTTCTAAATGTTCGTGGAGCTGTATATCACTTTCCATATAAAATTCTCCATGTTGCCATCATTAACCTTGTCAGCAATTTTAACCACGCTTACGCGACGGCTGCGTGCAAGTCTTTCCAAATCAAGTTTGATTTGATTGAGTTTTAATTGAGTTACAATAGGCATGTTTCTGGCAGATTGCGCAACTCAAGCAGGGAGAACATTGAAAATTCTGAATGCCAACTACACCAGCCAAGGGTCATAAATTGATAAAAACCCTCTGCTCATTAGGTTGTAATGTTGTGCTCAGCTGGCCAATATACTATGATATTCGGTATGCAAAAGAAGATGCGTGACAGCCGATGAACGGCTTGCAAATTGGTAGCAAATGTTAGGTCGGTCAAGTTTAAATTTGTTTTCTTATTTAATTCATCTGGGCAGAAGTGATAGTTTGGATTTTTCCTGTTAGATGCAAGTGGCCTAAATGTGGCTGACATAAGTATTCAGGTAACACTAAGTCGTTGCACTAATCCTGTCCGATCAGCGTGAAGGCAGTTTTTGGAATTCATGACGCTTGACACACTGCCAAATGCAGTATCCAACTAGTGGCCAGAATATGAGAGAGGATATATCAGGCATAAGGACATAGTTGTGTTTGGAGTTTACTAGAGTCCTGTCGGTTAGCAAGAAGTTCTCATCTCCGATATACCCGTAGATTTCAATTTGAAGAAGTTAACTTAATTTTCGCGAGTGATTTCAACTGCCAGAAAATGAATGCAGACGTTGAGCGATGCAGCCGCGCACTTGGATTCAAAACGGGTGACATTTATGTCACAGATTTTTTAAATTTATTTTTAGCAGATATCTATGTATATATAAGCCATTAGATTCTAGGTTGAAATCCACTTAATGAACCTCCGGAAAACATTGCATTTTCTACGTTATTAAAACAATTGTGCTAAAAAGTATGATGCAGAGAATGCAGTACATTGTAATTCAGACAAATACCTGCCGATAGGAGTATGGGACAACGGAATGCGTAGGTCAGTGACTCCTGATTTCCAGAAACTAACTAACTTATTAAAACGGTTAATTCTACTGGGAAAAGAAACAAAATGTTCATTACGCAGAGGTTGGTGGCATGTGAGTTTTGGCCGGCATTATCAGAAGCCAGGTAAGAGCCAAGTAATGGAGATAAAACTGGATCAATATAAAAAGGCAAGCCAAATGAATTTTCCAAAGGGTATATAGTAGAAATCTACGTATCCAATCATTCAACATATAAACATGATTACGCGTGTGCATGTTTATCGGGCGCGGTCTCGATGCAAACCGGCTTGAACCATGTTCAGTGTGGTCAGGCAAGTCGGACGCTGGTGCAATGTGTGTGGGCACAACACTGATTCGAGTGCCCAACTCAATGAAATCTTCCTCTTACTGATGAGTTTTCTTATTTAATTCATCTGGGCAGAAGTGATAGTTTGGATTTTTCCTGTTAGATGCAAGTGGCCTAAATGTGGCTGACATAAGTATTCAGGTAACACTAAGTCGTTGCACTAATCCTGTCCGATCAGCGTGAAGGCAGTTTTTGGAATTCATGACGCTTGACACACTGCCAAATGCAGTATCCAACTAGTGGCCAGAATATGAGAGAGGATATATCAGGCATAAGGACATAGTTGTGTTTGGAGTTTACTAGAGTCCTGTCGGTTAGCAAGAAGTTCTCATCTCCGATATACCCGTAGATTTCAATTTGAAGAAGTTAACTTAATTTTCGCGAGTGATTTCAACTGCCAGAAAATGAATGCAGACGTTGAGCGATGCAGCCGCGCACTTGGATTCAAAACAGGTGACATTTATGTCACAGATTTTTTAAATTTATTTTTAGCAGATATCTATGTATATATAAGCCATTAGATTCTAGGTTGAAATCCACTTAATGAACCTCCGGAAAACATTGCATTTTCTACGTTATTAAAACAATTGTGCTAAAAAGTATGATGCAGAGAATGCAGTACATTGTAATTCAGACAAATACCTGCCGATAGGAGTATGGGACAACGGAATGCGTAGGTCAGTGACTCCTGATTTCCAGAAACTAACTAACTTATTAAAACGGTTAATTCTACTGGGAAAAGAAACAATGTTCATTACGCAGAGGTTGGTGGCATGTGAGTTTTGGCCGGCATTATCAGAAGCCAGGTAAGAGCCAAGTAATGGAGATAAAACTGGATCAATATAAAAAGGCAAGCCAAATGAATTTTCCAAAGGGTATATAGTAGAAATCTACGTATCCAATCNCCTCACCTGGCTGCGATCAGCCTGCTTGTGAAGGCTGCAGTAGGGTGTCGCTCGGATATCAGAAAGTTCATGATGAGAAATGGACAATCGCTGTTTCTGTTTACCTCGGGGACATTTTCGGCGGATAATCATATCCGTATTTGTGTTCCGACCAACTGCTTCATTCATCACTGGCAAAGTTTGTCCATACAGCCGCCCAACGTCTGTGTCAATTTGAGAAACGACATTTGAATACATGACGAACGATAAAACCGTTTCCTTTACAATGAGCACTCCACCAAGCCCTTGGGACGCACAAACAGGTTCAATTTGTGTGGGCCAGTTATGCAAGATGTGAAGAGTCTGTTCATCAAATAAGAGACACAGGTTACCACAAAGAAAGTAAAACTAGTATAATGCAGCTACTCATATGACAGTTCTTGTCTGCCTAAACTGTTGTGATCCTATTTTATTCCTCGAACTCTTGTAAATTTTCGAGTAATTCACGTCCTTACGCAGCACCTAGTCGTGCTGTCTTGTCATCCGCATTACGTTACTCTCCGAGCGTATCGCATGCATCCAGAACATACACTACCGTGCGCATTTGAGATAAGGGAAGAGGTGATTTGTGCTGGGAAACGAACACCACGGACACTGTAATATCGCATGCACAATATCCTTCAAATTCATTAGATTCCCCATTGTGATGCTCAGGTTTGAGGAGACTATGGAGCACTGTTTTGTTTGGGCCGAATTCTCAGGTAAACATTGGAGCTCATTAGAGATTGGCTGCTTGATGCCAAGTAATTTTTTTCGACTAATGAAGAAAATGGGAACATTTGTCATTGTATACATTTCGTGACCACCCGTCAATCTTCAGCGCATAAGAAGGGACGACGTCAAAGTAGAGTGTGTCCTATAAACGTATGACCCACACGGGAATTCGCATGCGTAAACCATCAGTGTCCAACCGCTCATAAGTGGCGACGTTTAGGTATTTGGGTCCAGAGGTGACGGTCGTATTAAATGGTTAGCAAACACATGACATGCGAATCAGATTGATATGCTGATGTAACACATATATGGAGCGACGAATGTGCAATAATCGTCCATATTTGAATGAGTGAAACGGACATCTGTCCAATGGCTGAGGGTTCAACTGTGCTGTATTTGTGAACGTGTGGTATATATGGTGTTAGTCAAGTTTGAATTTGGCAGATTGCTTATTACACTGGCTGGGTCGGAAGGGATAATGCGGGTTTTTGTGTAACATGCAAGTGGCCAAAATGTGGCTCACATGAGCAATCAGGCGATTTTCGGACGCCGCGATAAATTCTGTCTTCCCGTTCGGCCCGCGTATACACCTGTGTGTGTTTTCAGTTCGCAGAATTCGTGACGCTTGCCACACTGTAATATACAATCTACAAATGCTGACAAGATTATGATAAGCTATATGTGGACGATAAGGTCGCAGTAATGTGCTAATTGTTTGCTGATATTTTGTCGGTGTGCCAGAGCTTCTCTCTTCCTGCGAATCTGCAGGTTGCAATTTGAAGCGCTAACTGAGTGTATCTCAATTTGTCTCACGACTGCCCACAACTCAGAGGACAGGTTCTAAGCTGCAGCTACTAGCTTGACTTCAGAATGAGTGTCAACTTTGTGGCGGATTTGCAAGTCATTTTATTATTGTTAGAAAGTATAGATAGGTGATGGGCTTTCCAGTGAAAATGTACCTGTCGCATACTTTTGTGTTTCAGGTTTTGGTGGATGCGGGATTTTGTAGAATGCACATACACGCACATACATGACTCTCGTTTGAACGGTCGTCTTCCTGTCCTGAAGCAACCTTCTTGGTGAGTCCACATCACTGGGTACGGCGAAGCAGTGTGCTCGAGTTTCGCTCTAATTCGATCTCACCTGCAGTGCATATCGAGTGATCGTGCCGGTTTCGATCTGCGCCCACGTGTTCTGTCCACTTTCGAATCGCAGGCACAAGTAAATCATATCTTCCGCTTGCACAGGACACGACTAATGAACGAACGCAAGCACTTCTATTCCGTTTGCTACCAGGTGGCATACATATTTGCATTTGTGCACAAAATGCCTCAAACCCATCGTGACCTGCAGAGTATTCCGTGTTGTTCGGTATACATTTTATCAGTCACAAAATGAGCTATTCCGGTTTTGTCCAACGAAGCGCCGCGCAAAATTCGAAACTGTGTGACTCTTCAAACGCCCATAAAGATCAAAGCAGTATTACGCACGCATCGCCGCGCAACGAAACTGTGTGACTCTTCAAACGCCCATAAAGATCAAAGCAGTATTACGCACGCATCAATGAGGAGCAATTGAATGACCGACCGCACACATGAAATCCGCGCCACCACATCGACCAGGTAAGGGCACAACAGAAATCTAGTCGCGTTCCAACTGTGGCAGCGGTCGGGTGGGGGAGGCATTACACACTGATGTGTGTTTGCAAAGGTGCTGCAAGTAGCATTCGTCCACTGTTCCAGAAAACCTTGTTTATCGGGCGCGGTCTCGATGCAAACCGGCTTGAACCATGTTCAGTGTGGTCAGGCAAGTCGGACGCTGGTGCAATGTGTGTGGGCACAACACTGATTCGAGTGCCCAACTCAATGAAATCTTCCTCTTACTGATGAGCGATGTCAGTTTCTGGATTTACCCCGCCAACGCGGATTTTTTGTACCACGATAGGGATCTTGTATATGACTTTCGCTAAAGTTCCCCTGAGGCATCCTGGAAAGCCATGGTATGCTCGATCTGTACGCTTGAATTTCGGCTATTGCTCAGAATAAAGTGGACCACGCAACTCGGATAGGAAAACCGCAAACGAATGGTGCACTGGGGTCCTTCAAACGAGCTTACTAGTTGTATCGAATGGTTTTGTTGCAAAATTTTCGAACACAGTACTCACTACGAGGGGCCCTTTTTATAATTAATGATGAATTTCCCCATCAAATGCTTGGAATGGCGTGGAAGTCCGGGATAAAGCACTACGCAAACAGAATCGAATATGAAATATTCGGTTGCCTCACCAGTTTGTATTAACTGAGGATGACTGTGAAAAATGTTTGTAGACTCACCTGCTGCTGCTGCTTCTGCTGCTACTGTGGCTGCTGCTTCTGCTGCCACTATGGCTGCTTCTTCTTCCGCCACTGGTTTTGTTGCAACAAATTTTTCGGAGGTGAGATGAACAGAAATGTGTGATTTAGAACAACTGGACTGCAAATATTGAGTCGAGT